CTGTTACAAAATTGAAGGTGACAAAATTTCCTTCAACATGCACTATTCACACTTGAAAATCGATTAGAAATAACCTCCGCTAGAGTGCATTGAAAATTGGTTATTTTTCTGAATTTAAAAAAGTTCAAGCTTTTGCTCTGATTTTAATTATTATCAGCAAACACCCACACCTCCCCCTATAACTATCTCAACCCGAATTCCCTCATCAAAACACACCCCTCTACCCAATGTACTATACCATTCTTCCCCCTCATTCCACAGCGTTCTTTATACTTTTCTTGAGCGAAATTAATAATGTTAGAGAGGTAGGTTTCCATGGTTATCATTAACATGACAAGGCAGTTGTTATCATTAACCCAATGACACTACACCAAAGAATGACTATTATACAGCAGTCTGAAAACGAGCTAAAGAAATTCTTGATATTCAAGCTAAGTCCGTATCCGTCGTCAATATTTCAAGAAGGATCCACGAGGAAAGGAAAGAATTCGAGCTTCTACAAATCTTTCTATTATATGCCCGATTCTGAAATACCAAAAGACACCCAAAATGTTATATATGGAGGGTTTCTACTGCACGAGGTGGTTTGGGAAAGTAAGTGGATTTCATTTATACAAAGTTCTTTAAAATTACTGTCTTGTATACCTTGTACCTTAGGTCGTCCAGGTGTCTGACGGTTTCCCCGTATAAGGCTGCTAAGAATGACTCTACTGCCTGAGTCCTGTTTAAAGGTGAAGTCATGAGAAGGGGTCCTAAAAAGGGCTAGCTGGGAAGACGGATGGGGGTGTTTGTCCAGCACCTTCAAACCCTTAGCCTTCCCCACTAGATTAGATGCTAAGCCCACTAGTAGCATCAGAAGGTCGATACCTTCTCCTACAACATCAGTGACTGAGCTGCTTTGAGCAGACAGATTGATGGCTGTATTGATGTACACGTACATGTGTTGTGATAAGTAGATATATGAAACGATTCTTATTTCGATCATTCCCCAAGAAATGTCCTTGAGAAACATCTGGTTTCATTCCTTTTTCAAACAGCACTTCCACAGAGTGTTTTTGATGGCCCTTCTCAAACGTTTAGCTTGTTTAGTCATAGGATAATCGGGGTACCCGACAAAAGATACCACGGGGTTGGAGTAGTGCCGTTTTATTTATCTTATGAAAGAGCACCAACCTCATCAGGTCCAGTTATTCTCCCAAACCACCTTGTGCAGTAGAGACCCTCCATATATAACATTTTGAGTGTCTTTTGGTATTTCAAATCAGGCAAATGAGGAAAAGATTTGTAGAGCCTCGATTTCTTTCCTTTCCTTGTGGACCCTTTATGAAATAATGACGAAGGATAAAGACTTAGCTTGAATTTCAAGGATACCTTTAGCTCGTTTTCAGACTGCTTTATAATAGTCATTCTTTGTTGTAGTGTTGTTGGGACAGTGATTGTATGGTCGCCATTTCATGAAAAGTAAAGTATTGATAACAACTGCCTTGTCATGTTAATCAGAACCATGGAAACCTACCTCTCTAACATTATTTATCACATTCCGCCCATGAAAAGTAGAAAGAACGCTATGGAATGAGGGGGGGGGGAGAATGGTATAGTACATTGGGTGGGGGGGGGGGTTTGATGGGGGGATGAGATAGTTATAGGGTGGAAGGGTGTGGGTATTTGCTGATTAATATTAAAATCAGACCAAAAGCTTGCATTTTGTAAAATTCAGCAAAATAAGCAATTTTCAATGCACTCTAGCGGAGGTTATTTCTAATCGATTTTCAAGTGTGAATAATGCATTTTGAAGGAAATTTTGTCACCTTCTATTTTGTACCAGGGTAAAATTCGCTAGAATTCATAGTTTTTGACTTATAATATAAAAACTGAAAAAAGTGCTAAAATTTTGCTATTTTTTGCGAATATCTCGGAACGCTCAAGAAATATTTGTTGGACAACTTCAGATTCGGATTCAGCGCCCCAAAAAACATATATTTCAGACAAAATTCCTTGGACGCCAATTGTGTCCACGTTGGATACGGATTGACTGTACTAAACTTTCCATGCTAGTAAAATTTCACTAGCGCGCTACTCTTAGTAGCTGCTACTGCCTATGCCACATTGGCTACTTAGTAGCTGCTATTTCGCTAGCTGCTAGTAAAGTAGTGTAGTGTGACACAGCCTTTAAAATGTCAAGGCCACTAGCGCTCGCAGTGGTGATCAACCAAACCAAATATCATCCCTGGAGTTGAAAACTAGCCAATAAGGTTGTCTTTACTAAGTAGGCAAACAGCTAGGATTCATAACGGCAATTTACCCGCTCTGAACTGACTTAATCCGCACCGATTCGTACCGTTCAGTGTCAGTATCGGTATCGAACCCAAAACAGGCAAGTATGGAGGTATCGAGAGTATTTTGGTATCGAATATCGGTATCGGCCCACCTCTAGTAAATTCGTCAAACTAAGTTCGCAAACCAACAAGATTGGAGCACAGGAGCGTAATATCACGGAGTTTGGAAATTTCAACTTTTATCAGACAAATAATTAATAGATGTCACAATGCTCAGGCAGCACTCAAAGAGCCTAAAAACAAGGGAATCTTACGACAGTGATCAGAGATATGTTTTGCAGAGTTATGAATTTTATAAGGATTGATAAGGACTGTTCAAATTCATTGTTCATATCTTTATCATGTAAATTATAATTCTTGCATAAATAGTTATGCACAGGGTCTGGACCTACTACTTTTTCTAACAGGACTGACCTAAAACATACAACAATGATAAGACCAAAAAACTATTGCCTAATAATTTAACATAATTTGTTATATAAATAAAGAGGAAGTATTTAACCCATAAAAACTCGTAATCCTGTATAAATGGACATTAATTTATTCATTAAATTGCATTTGTCATATTCAAAATACAATTACAGTAGTATCGCGCAATCATGACACGTTAAGTCATAGTCATTGGTTTAGTAATAAAAACTGTGACGTTTACAAAGTTGTGGTGTTGGCGATAACGTGATCGTTTTTTAGATCATGGCAACTCGGAAATACCGTGGTCGTCACTCAGGGTAGTGGCAACACTCGTGAGCATATTCACGGTCCTGGCAATACAGCGATTGTCTCCTGTGATCGTGCACTGTGAATGTCTATGGCGGTAAAAGTAAAATTCCTGTGATCATCTCAAGTGCTCGTGATTAACTTACGATTTAAAAAGAGAACCAATGGAACGCCATTAATGAATTGAGACTAATTGGCTATTGGAGATTATTGTAGTCCTTGGTTCATGCTGAATTCAAGTACAATTCTTGGTGTCTAGGTTGGATACCCAGATACCATGTTTAAATATGTGTAGGCCTTATAGTACACCTATCTCACACTTTCCTCATTTGTTCCAATAAGAGAAAATTAGCTGTAAGCATGCGCCTAGAGGCCTAATGATAGAGCTATGTATCTTATTACAGATCTTTCAAGCTGAGTGAGCCTTTGAATTGAAAACAGTTCTAGTGAAAACGGCTTGATACAATCCTGGCTACGCTACTGATTGGAGTCGGACACATTTCGATATTTACTGTCGTTAAATGGGCGAGCCCTTATTATACCGTGATACCAATACATTCTATCATGTTTTTTTTTTTTATATGGTGTTTCATGGTTTGGATTTTTATTCTAATAACTGCTGTTCTCTCAAAGCAAATATTATAAACATCAAACAAAGAGCACTTGACCAACTAATTAAACTTTATCACCAAATGTTTTGAAATGAAAATAAATATATTTAATGTTCAACTAGCGTACCCTGATGGATTTCAGGAACGTGGGTATGCCTAAATGTTACTCGGTAACATAATGTAGCTTTCTGTAAAGATTCAGTCAATTTGGTTTAGATAGTATTTTTTGAGTTTGGGTATTCTTACACATACATACACACACAGACAGACATCACAGCTACCTTTGATAAACTTAGGTAGGTACTTACATGTGATCATCATATGGGAAGTTTTCCCTTAATTTCATGTTATCTCGAACTGTTCTTAGGAATAAATTCATGTCATTTGAGTTTTCGCAGATAAGTGTCATTAAATCTGTTTCAATGACAGATTCAATCTCCCTTTCGACAGTATTATGACAGTTTATCTGTAAAAATATAAATTAACTTAATCCTTGCCTGATATATACACTAACTGATCGAGGTTCCGTTCCACTGTAGGTTATTTGAATAGTTTTAACCAACCTGACCTCTGCAGAGCGCTGTAGCCTCATTGGCCATCCTCGTTATTATACGAGGATAATGAATTTTGGTAAAACAATTACCAACTTATCATTTAATATTGATCACTCACATTAACTTATTTTCATTTTATATTGATACGATGCGATGTCTGGCGTCTGCAGAAGTATAGATTTACCCATAAATAGTTAGTAAATGGCTTTGGTAACTTAATGGGTACCTACACTTCCATATCTGTTGGCACAAACAATTGAATGAGTAATTTTGATTACCGGTATTCGATTGTTTAACTTGATATATCGATCGATATTTTCATTCGGTTGTTTGTGCCAACAGATATGGGAGTGTACCCAACTTAATTTGGTCTATTTTTATTTAATAAATGTAATGAACAGCTCAACTTGAATTAGAGATGGGCTAAATGAGTCCATCAATGTAGCCGCTACAATGATTCCAGCTACACTCGTGGACTCATTACAAGTAACCGTTCCGATTCCAAACGATTACTTCGTTACCGCCGTTACAGAGTAGCCGCAATCGACCGATTGCACTCGTAATCATCATGGTATTGATTACTCTGACTCTGATTTATTCCAGTTACAGTAATGGATTTTGAATCAATGTTTACAGAAGCTATATTAATACTTTTTGTGTTTGTAAAGCAATCAATACAAAATTTAAATTAGTTTCCAAAATATAGGATTCATTAATAAAATATGTATATTATTACACACATTTATACAATCAATTACTCGTACAATACAAACAAAATACACTTATTTCGAGTTTGCATTTAAAAACATCAACTGCTTCACTTTTTTCGTTGACAGTCTCGTTCTCCGGTCGCTGATTAAATTACCAGCCTTCGAAAACATTCTTTCGCAGGGGACGCTGGTAGCAACCATGTTCAGGTGAGTTTTCGCAAGCTCAGCTAGGTTTGGGTATACCTTTTGGTGGTTTTTCCACCACAACAAGGAATTTTCCTTCCTTGGTATTGGAGTGTCATCATAGTACCGCTGAACCTCCTGAATAGCCTGTGAGTAAGGGGTCCCAACAGGCCTGGCTTGGCTAATTGTTTGGTCAACATCATCCCAAATAGAAAACTTTTTTGCCGGAGGCTCGTCGGGATCATCGGGGTTGTCTAGGTCTAATTGAGGAGTGGTTTCGTTTGTTTCAACAACCCGTTCCTTACTACTAATCATACCAGAGACTAGTTGGATGGCATGTCTTTTGATATTGTCTCGGGTGGCGAAGTCCTCAAACATGTGCTGTTTGTACTGGGGGTCAAGGAATGTACACAATGCCAATGTTCTACTTTTTTCTAAATTAGCAAGTCTCTTGTCAATTCCACTCATTAAACTTGTCACCAATTTCTTTACCTGAGTATTGGTGATTTCCAGTGATATTTTGCTTACAGTGGATTTCAGCCCCCTGGTAATTGGAATTACCTTACTCGCAGATACATAGTTTTCTGCACTCATGACTTTCGTAACTTCGAAAAAAGGTTCTAGTACCAAACACGCTTGGTTGCTTGTTTCCCACTCATCTTGGGTGAGCTTCTCCAGGTCATTGTCCACAAGAGCAAGCGCGTGTTTGATTGCTTCTTGGAGAGAAAAGAAGCGCTGCATCATGAAGAATGTGGAATTCCAACGAGTGGACACATCTTGAAGAAGCTTTTTGGGCTGCTTAGCTCCAGTTTGTTGTTGATATTTCAACAGTTTTTGAGTAGCAGCGTTACTCCTCTTGAAGAATGTCACGGTGGTTTTAACTTTTTTCAACAATGTGTCAATATCCTGGAACAAAATGCATTTTTGAGACACGTCACATTATACTGTGTACTAATGTTTTTTGTATAGCCTACCTGGATAGCCTATAGGTTTTAGGTAGGGTAGACGGTTTCGTTCTGTTGGAGGGGCACCTGTAGGCCTAGGCCTAACTCAAACTGTCAAACATATCTTCATATATTAATATTAATGACATTAAAATATAAATTGATATTTTGATTGTACTAACCTGGAGTGCATCCTGTACGATTAAGTTGATCTTGTGGGCATAACACCCAAAATGCTTCCATTTTAACACCTTTTCTATAGCCGAAGTTATGTTTGAGGCATTGTCTGAAATCACGATTGACACTTTGTTTGTCAAGTCCCCACTCATCCACCACTCGCAAGATTTCATTTGCCAAATATTGAGATGTGTGAGATGAGTTGCTCTCTGCACATTCCAACAAATAAGTCTTTGTTTCAAAGTTCCCGTCGATGTAATGGACAGTTACTGCCGTGTAACTGTCATTCACAGGCGAAGTCCACGAATCTGTGGTTATGCATACAGATTGTGCCTCCTCTTTTAATTTGTTTATTAAATCTTCTCTTTTTTCTTCAAATCGAGCTGGTAAAAGAGTACTGGAAAAGTATTTCCTTGATGGTATTTTATAATTAGGGGCACACACTTTCATAAGTGATTGAAAACCTTGATCTTCGACCATTGTAAAGGGTTGGAAGTCGGACGCTATCATGTTTAAAATAGCACCATCGATTTTGTTTTTCTCGCCGACTGTAATTTTCTTAGGGACAAATGATGCTAGTGTAGCCTGCCTTTTAACACTGCTAGGTTTGAGAGCTGGGGCTAAGGATTCTACAGGTTCTACTTGAAGGTTTAGGTTAGCAGTGGTTTCTTCTGCCGGTTCACTTACAACAACAGCAGTAGTAGATGAAGGAACTGAGGAGGGGCCTGCCTCAATAATTAATACAGGCGTTTCTTCATTTATTATCCCAGTCGTTTGTGCGCGATTGGTAGCAAAATCTAAATTAATTGTGGGATGTTTCCTCTGAATATGTTTTTTCAAGTTTGAGGTAGAACCTCGCAAGGAGAACTTACTTTTGCATTGTTTACACAAAGCTGTGTCCTTGTCTATAGGATCAAACAAAGTCCAAAGTTCACTTGTTTTCTTCCGTTTGAAATCCATATTTACAACATATACATATGCCTACACTATAATTAACTAATAAATGCTAATACTATAAACACACACCACACACTAATGTCTAGTTATAATATGAAACTGAATAAGACCACTGTTAAAACAATAACAAATATATCTCGTCTCTTTTCTCAGAGTATGCGTAATGGCGTAATGTTGTGGTTCATTTTGACAGATTTGCCAGCTTCTAATTACTCAAAACTAACGATAGTAGCGCCACAGGTTGACAGGTAGGCTGATTTGTGCTGCACTCTGTGTACTATGTTTCGAACGAGGTGTACCCAACCCACGGGGGCGTGGCGGGGGCGGAGTTAGTTCAGTAGTTTGTAGTTTCAGTATTATAGTGTTGGCTGAACTGAACTGTTGGAATGGGGTTATCTCGCTTGTCAAGCAAGCTGGTAGCTGGACTCATTTACGGAATCGAAACGGCGTGGAATCATCTTCTCTAAACGATTCCAGGCACATCGATTTTGCTACTATGACGAAGTAATCGGAACCGGTACTCTGATACTTCAGTAACGATTCCTTTCGCATCAACCATGTAACGATTCCAAAGTAACGATTACAGTACTTCGTTCCCACCTCTAACTTGAATGTCTTCTACACAAAACTGGCCAATGCCGTGGAGTTTCTGCGGTACTTTCCTGTTAAGGGGAACATTCATTATTATCGATGATTTCTTTTCGATACCTATATCTATATTTTTGTTTTCCTTTACGATCCATATTCCATCTGTTTTCATATCTTCAAACGTATTTAAATTACAGACAGACAGACAAACAGACATAGCAAATGCCTACGTTACACTTGGTTCAATAACCGAGTTATTGAGTTATAGCTTGTATTAGAGAATAGGATTAAGAACTAATCTTGTTTAGACAAAAATAAGCCTAAATAGGGCTATTGGATAAAGAAATGAAACTATTCTAAACTAACCTAACATAAGTAGGCCCTAATCAACTTGCTGTAGGCTAAGTTACCGTTTCAAAATTCCGTTTGATAATTGGTAAGTTTAGAACTGTTTAATTTTAATAAAATATGTTTTTATTGTTAGTTGCTACTGAACAATACTTATTTATCGTAGTTGTCAGCTGGTAAGTTTCAATTTGTTAATATCGATAGGCCAATATCAAATTTTAAAAATCAATATATCTAAAAGAAATCATCAGTAATAATGAATGTTCCCTTTAACACGTTCGCTAATACGGACGTTCCGCAACTTCAGCAGGGCCACGGCGCCAGGAGCTAGGAACGTCGCCATTCATTGTTGTTTAACGTTTCATTGGATCAACCAGCTCGTCACAAGCATCCTATTTTCCGTCCGTCCCGGGCATCTAGCGCTCAGCAGCGAACGTGTTAACAGGAAAGTGCCGTTTCGGCTACTTACAGGTAGCAGCAAGACGAGTTAGGCCTAAAATGATATTACCAGTTGACGAGGTAACTTAACTTAACGGCCGAAGACTGAACATGGTACCTATGCACAAGGTGGATATTTACCTACGACTCTCTTAATACCAGGTGGTGCACATTTGAGAACAATTTATTCGTTAAGGGAAACTTAAAATAGGCCTAGTAAAGGCCCTCTTCTGAAAATGGACAACTAGGCCTAAGGCCTTGTTTAACGATAGGTTTAAACACAAGTTACATGTGGGCTATATTTTCGAGGCCCATCATTCAAAGTAACTATAGAACTAACTTATGGCTGCTAAGTAGCCTAGGCCTATCTCCTAACATGCCATAATAGGCCTAAAAGTTAACTTAAGTTAGTCCGATCCCTTAGGGTACCAGATTCATTTAAGTTAGACCACAAAGTTAATTAAGTTAGATGCGGTAAACGACTTCCTAAACCTACAAAATAGCCTAGCCTAGACCTGTTTCGTTAAACTCGGGGTTAAATCTATCAAGAACATACCTACCTCAATCATCACAGGCCCATATATATAGCCTGTGAATCTGTTTCTGTTGAAATTTAGCCACTGGTAGGCTTGATAAGTGCTTGGGCACAACACTTTGATTAGTTCTTCTTTTTGTGCCTTTGTATCCATGTTTAATTAGTGTAGGGCCTAGGGCAGAAATACGAATTAGCCTAGGTTAAATAGGCCTATGCCTAACCTATAAATTAGCCTAAATCATGTAACGAATTACACAGTTGGCGTATCAAAACTATCACAAAATCTTAATTAATGCCAAACCCGCATTAACTTAGATTTCACTTAGAGTTAAGTTAGATGTTACATCCACAATTCGATCGATGTTACATCACATCACATTCACAAACTTCTAACATGGCGGATTCCAGAATCAGAGACCGGGGCCCCACCTAGCATGATCAAGTCAGGGTTTAGGAGCTTCTCTCTCCGCACCCTTAGGACAATATTAATGCAGATGGTTATAATATTATTGACTGGCTCATTTCGATTTTGTGTACCGCCATGTAAGCCTTTCTTCAACAGATCTGGCGAGACAAGGTCTACAAAAATAGGCTTTATTAAATCCATAATTACCTTAGGGAGGTGAAAGTGATCTTCGTGGGTATATATCTCTGTTCGCCTTCGCTCTCTGTAGCCCAGTGAATAAAGGTTTTGTGTCGGAACTCTCTTTGGTAAAGCTGATTTTTTCAAGGGTGATAGACTTTGATGAGAGGACAATTTTCCGAAAAGTCCCCGAAATTCCAATGGAGCTTCCCCCCCCTACCCCCCTTTAAGTTTAAAAATGTAGACTTTTACGCAATCGCATACAACTTTTTACCCAAAAGTTTGTTAAGGTTATTTTTTTACAGTTTTATTCCCTGATAGATATTCTACAACTTTTATAATCATATAGTTTATGATAAGTGCATTAGTTTTTGCGTAAACTAACAAAGTGTTGTAAAAAAATATATTTTTTTAGCCACCTATCTAAGTTTTTGCAAAAATATATTTTTGTTCGTCCCCAAATGAAAAAATGCTTCAGATAAAAGTTATAGCACATATATTCCTGAGTACATTGGTATATAAACATATACAGTTATGTGTATTACTCCACTAGTAACATGGGAAACAGTAGCTAGGTTTTGAGCGCGTGAGTGCCCGGGAGTCGGCAGGCGTCGGGGGAAAGGCGCGGTATCTTCACGTATGCTATTCGATTAGAGTTTAATATTGAAATTATAACATCTATTTTTAACACTTATATAATCGTACTATCCTATAATGTTCCTACCTTAATTTTTAAATATAATAAATAGGTTTGTGTAATGAAAATGACATAAAAATAATATGACCAGATAAAATATTTTCCTGATTGTGTCATTATTAAATTGGGATTTTAATTTCATTAATAATTAATTATTGTACACATTTGTATGCCAGTTTTGGTTCGGGGGATTTAACCTAGCCTTGTTATATCAGGCCATTCCATTATCCACCACCTATGGACCCGCCGTGTCCCGGACTGGCTAAACCGGCAGCTGTTTTAAATTACGAACTATACTGTCTAACTCGTGTTTTAAAACAGCATCACGGACCTCCCACCCACCACAAATATTATACAGGGTGATTCAAAATGATTGACCCAGTTTTATCGCTTTATAACTTTTATACTATTAAACTTGCCGCTATAAAATGCACATCAAACGAAAAAGCAACGCAAAGAGTTTATGCCTTCCAAAGAGACATCATTTAACAAAATCGATCCAGCAGAACTGTAGATTTAACTGTACAAAGTTAAAAAGTAATCTCCAAATTTTTACCGCTAGAAATTTGGAGGTTACTTGACGTTTTTGCAAATAACTTTGAAATGGTGAGGAAATCGACCAAAGTGGAAGGTAATATTCCGAAAGAGAATAAAATTTCCTACAATCTACTATTATGCATTTCTTGAAAATACTCAATAAATGTAGCTTAAATTTGGCTTAAAATAAAAAATTGTGAAATTTAATGTTTGCTAAGTTTATTGTCTACATTAAAGACGGGGATTTTCAATTTTTCTTTCATTTTGAGCCATTTTTTGGTACCTTTCTTGAGTATTTTCAAAAAGTGCATAATAGTAGATTGTAGGAAATTTTATTCTCTTTCGGAATATTACCTTCCAATTCGGTCGATTTCCTCACCATTTAAAAGTTATTTGCAAAAACGTCAAGTAACCTCCAAATTTCTAGTGATAAAAAAAGTTGGGGATTACTTTTTAACTTTGTACAATAAAATCTACAGTTCTGCTGGATCGATTTTGTTAAATGATGTGTCTTTGGAAGGCATAAACTCTTTGAGTTGCTTTTTCGTTTGATGTGCATTTTATGGCGGTAAGTTTAATAGTATAAAAGTTATAAAGCGTTAAAACTTGGTCATTCATTTTGAATCACCCTGTATACACTGATTTCATATTTACAAGTCATTATTATCATATCTCATAAAAATAATTTTTCTGTCAATTATCATGTTTCTTTGATTTAGAAATTAATCTGTCTGACAAAATTCAACAGCTTCTTCTGAATACAATTGTGAATTTAGACAAGATAAGCCACTACAGTGTTCACACATTGCAGTGCAACTCAGGTTCACTTTTCTACATCCACAGTATTGTCCGCACCCCTGTTTACATGAACATGAGACTAAGTACAGGAGTTCGTTTGGAGCAAATGGCTTAGAGTTAGGAATTGGTTTTAATGTTTTTTTTGGTTCCTCTCATTTCTTTTACATTTTCAATTTTCCAACCCCAATTTGTGGAATCAAGAGCATTACCTAACCATTTTTGAACTTGCAAAAATACTCTCAGCGAATGTTCATTACACGCCTCAGACGTTGGAGGTAATTTTGCCAGATCAAAATTTGATCTAAGAGAACTTTTCTTTGTTATTGTCAAGAACTTGTAGTAACGGGCTTCATTCAGATTTGAGTATTTGCCTAACCCATAAAAACACAAAACAAATTTCTCGCCAGCAATCAAAAGGTCCTCTTTGGTTGTTGAAGCATCCAAAAACATCCTCGCTGTATTCTGAATGTCAGGTTTTG